TTATTTCTTTTTTTGTTTTTGTTTTGTTGGTGCAAGAACTGGAAGCTTTATTCAGATAACCAGTATCTAGGGAATGACCAGGTTAAAATCATCCCATCTTCTGATACCTGTTTTTGGGTTTATAAAGGGGAATATGTGGGAAGGTGAGGTAAGGATTTTGTTGTGCAGGCAAAGGGGGAGGCTGGTCATGGGATCAGTAGAGGGTCTGAGTCAGATGTCAGAGTCCCAGGATGGACTTGTGCTTTGGCATCATTGAGTCTGCCATTGGTAGACTGGTCAGTTTTAAGCCCTTGATGTTATTTGGGGGTTGGAGTTCTTAGCTCTTTGGGAGAGCTCAAAGACAATAACCTTAATCAGGTATCACTGGAACATAAAAATACCTGACTTGTACCTCTTAACTTATGTAGATGCAATTTTCCCGATAAAGCCTTTTTCTCAGCAGACACTTAATAGATACTGGATAATGGTTGAGTGTATGAATGAATGAATGAATGAACGATTTGAAGGTGGGGAAGTGACAAAGGACAAATTTTCTACTCTCGATGCATTGATTTTACTCAGATTTTAATCTGTATAGTATGTGTGAGTACATGTATTTGCATAGACAAAACAGTGCTTTTGAAAATGAAAGACACACCTGATTAGTAAGCTCTTAGAAATACAGGCCTCTGTGGAAAATGTCAGAAAGTCTTCGTGCTATAGCATTTTTTCAGACTGTTAATATGATAGGGATAATGTTCATTGACAGAAATGTTTTCTAACTTGCAGTGATCTGAAACAGCAGATTTTAGAGATCTGTTAAGTCTTAGGGTGGCTTTGACTTGTACATCTCTATACGAAACTGAAAGAAGTCCTCCTGGGCTTAGCTGACCTTTCACTTTTCCTGAGGAGTTTATCTTGCTAGTTTTCCTTTTCCAGATGGCTTTTAATCCAAGGTTAGAAACCTTCTGATTAGTCTAGATTCCCTTGATAGTCTTGTCTCTTACAGCTTCATCAGATTTGTTGAAAAGATTGGGTAAAAAACAAACTAACAGAAAAAAATAGAACTGACTTTTAACTGAACATAATTTTTATTTCTCTTAAGTATACTTTTTATCAGGTAATAATGCATGTAGTTTAAAAAAGTCAAATAGTACCAAAAAAGGGGTGTTTGTTTTTATTTTGTACTGAAAAACATCAGTCAGTGCCTCTCCTCTTGACCCAACTTTGATTGGGTATAAAATTCTAGGTTGAAAATATGTTTTCCCTAAGGATTTTGATGGCATTACTATGTTATCATCTAGAGTCCATGTTACTCATATAAATTGTAATGTCATTCTTCTTCCTGATCTTTTTTGTGTCCTGTTTCTCTCTCCCTCTCTCCTTCCCTTCTTTCATTTTCATCCCTCTCTCTCTCTGGAAGCTTTTACTATCTTCGTCTCTTCTTCAGATTATGAAATTTCATAGGCCATTTTTCATTCCTTATGCTGGGAAAACTGGGCACCCTCTCATTCTGGAAGATGAAATTCCTTCAGTTCTTGGATATTTTCCTATATTATTTCATTGATAATTTCCTCTTCTTCATTTTCCCTGTACCCTTTTCTGGTCTTCTTATTAGGCTAATGTGTTGGATCTTCCAGATTGATGCTCTCGTTTTCTTATCTCCCCCATTGTCTGGTGGGGTTTTTTTGTTTGTTTGTTTGTTTCTCTTTGTTTATCTTTCTAGGAGATTTGATCAACTTTATTTTCCAGATTTTTTTTTTACCTATCATATTTTTTATTTCTAATGAAATGTTTTAATTTAATTTATTCTCTTTCTGTCTATAGTAATGGGTATATATATTTTGGGTTTCTTTCAGTTTTTTAGTTTGAGTTTTTTGGTTTTTCTTTTCTTTTTTTTTTTAGTTTTCCTCTGTTCCTAATTTTGTTTCTATCTCTTGACAAGGTTTTTTCCCTCCTATTTATTTTAGTGTCTAGTTTGTTATTATTGTTGGAGGCTTTCCTCTAATGCCTAGTACACCCTTGAACCCTAAAAAGCATTGTAAGCTCTGTGTCCAGCGGATAGAACTTGGTGACTGGAACTTACGTCGTTGTAAGGTGATCAGGCAGTGACCCATTTTTATTGCTGTGACATTCGCTTTCTATATAGTAGGATTTTTCTAACTCCTGCCTGAAGGTTGGAGCTGGGAATAAGGGTGGGGACAGTGCTTAAGTCTATCAGCTGACCTCTGGGAGCCAGGTAGGGGCAATGGGCTGGTGTCAC